GGAGCTTAAACCATGGGTTGCAGATTCATGCTGTAGTGTTAAAGATTGGTGTTTTTATGGAAGAAATAGTGAGGAATACCTTGTTGGACGTATACTCAAAGCTTGGAGACATGGAAGAAGCTTGGCATTGCGTCGAAGAGATGGGGAAGTTGGGTGATGATGTCTCTTTTAATTCTTTGATTGCAGGTTATGCAAGGCTTGGAAAGGGGGAATTATCTCTGGTTTTATATGTTCAGTTTCTTAGAACTCGACTGATAATCTCTCAATTTACATTTGCCGGAGTTCTTAGTGCTTGTGCTGGAATTTCAGGCCTTGTTGAAGGCAAGCAAATTCATGCTCTGGTCTTCAAGACTGGTTTCGAGGGCAATATCTTTGTGGCCAATGCAGTTATGGACATGTATGCAAAATCAGGGGAGCTTGAAAGTTCTTGGAGAGTGTTTGTGGGCATGCATCATAGGCATAACATTTCATGGAATGGCTTGATCAGTGGTATAGTAGAGAGGGCTTATCAGAGGAAGCTATGAATTTGTTCATAGAGATGTTGAAACATGGAGTTGCTCCCACCCACTTCACCTTTTCGAGCATTTTGAGCTCGTGTGCTAGTATTGGTTGCTTGTTACTCGGTATGCAGGTTCACTGCAAAACCATCCATTGTGGGCTTGAATCCGATGTATTTGTATCTAATGCTATCATTGATATGAATGCAAAATGTGGGTCATTAGAGTCAGCAATGTTTGTTTTCAATGAGAGGTCTAACCTCAACACCATCTCATGGACGGCCTTGATTGCTGGTTATGCACAAAATGGGTTCAATGAAGAAGCCATTAAACTCTTCACCCATATGCTCAAATCAGATTTTAAACCAGACAATGGCACCTTCGCTAGTGTGCTCAGTTCCTGTGCGGGCCTAACTGCTCTTAATTATGGCAAACAGGTGCAAGTCCATGCAATAAAACTTGGTTTTGATTCAAATATATACACCGCAAGTTCTCTAGTTGGTATGTATGCTAAATGTGGCGACATGAAAGAGGCATCAAAGCTCTTTAGTGCAATGCCCATTCGAAATTTGGTGACATGGAATGCCATTATAGCTGGCCACGCACATAATGGAGAGGATGAGAAAGTGCTTGACCTATTCAGAACAACGGTAGAACAGGATGGCATTGCCCCTGACTATGTCACATATGTGAATGTGCTCCATGCATGTAGCCATGCAGGGATGGTCGAGGAAGGGTATTGGCACTTCAGGTCCATGAGTGAAGATTTTGGAATTACCCCTTACCCTGACCATTATGCATGCATGGTTGATCTGCTAGGGCGCTGTGGCCGGCTCGATGAGGCCGAGGAGTTTGTGGAGTCCATGCCTATTGAGCCTGATGGGGTAATATGGGGGGCCTTGTTGGGCGCCTGCCGAACCCATAGGCATGTTGAGCTAGCTGAACGAGCAGCGGAAAGGCTCTTTGCCATTGAGCCAATGAAACCTGTTGGCTATGTGCTATTGGCTAATATATATTCAGCTTGTGGCCTATGGGAGGGGGTTGCAAGAGTGAGGAAGATGATGCACGAGAGGGGAGTGAAAAAGGGGACAGCTTGCTCTTGGGTCGAAGCCCAAATGGGGGTTCATGTTTTTGTGTCCAATGATCGGGTCCACCCAAGACTAAGAGAGATTCACGAGAAGCTTGAGTAGTTGGGAGAGGAAATGAGGATGTTCCTGATAAGAGCTTTGTGTTGCAGCAATTGGAAGAAGAGCAAAAGGTGCCAGCTTTGAGCTATCATAGTGAAAAGTTGGCGGTGGTGTTTGGGCTTATTAGTATTGATGCTTCAGCACCCATTAGGGTTATGCAGAATCTGAGGGTCTGTGGGGATTGTCACAGTGCTATGAAGCTTATATCAAGGATTGTAGGGCGAGAGATAATCCTCGGGAACTCCACCCGATTCCACCATTTGAACGATGGAATATGTTCTTGTGGGCACTATTGGTGAAGGTAAAGAAAGTATGTTCATCCTCCCAAATTATGACTAAAGGGAAATAACCCAATGGAATATGGGAAAACCACAGTTCATTAGGGTTATCCCTCATCCCTTTTCAATGGAATGCCAGAGTGATTGACAGAGTGTAGGACACACCATTGTGGTTATGTCCTGTTTGTTGTGCCCAACTCTCTCCATCACCCACCATATCACTGGACGGTGGGGATCCCAATGTACTATGGTTGTCCCACAGTCTACAGAGATTTTAGTGTGCTTCCATAAACTAGATATGTGTGATTTCTAGTGACATTCTTTTCTGATTGAAATGCGAGAGTTTTAGGACATTTATAGGCCAGATGCTGGTGTTAATAGGCCTGCCAAGTGAAAGACTCAAATTAATTACTCCATAAAGTGTTCCAAAATACACTATTTATTTAGTATCATCTGATGACGGTGATTCCATTTCCTTTTTCCTATCATTACTCATATTGCCGGTGCTGCATCGTCTTTTCTAATCCTTGTATACATCTTTCAAAACTCAAAACTTACAGATGACCATAATAAACTTTACTCGTCTAGAATATTACTGTAGTTTTCTTTTTGGAAGAGGGAATCTAATATGAATTTGTGCATGTTGGTAAAATACTACCTAGGCCAGACTGCAAAGAGCAGCTAGACCCTGAGAGAGGCCACTTGATCATCCAAACTCAATACTGCGAATTATCTAAAAAAGAACTTTGTATGAGAATCCTTCTCATACAAAGTTTGATAAGTATATATTTTTTTAGAGAAATGATCCTATAGGACCTTCCCCCACCCATGTGACCATTAAATTTGGCACGGATCTATAGAAAAGTCAAGTCCCACACCCATATGATAACTTTTTTAGAGATCCATGTCAATTTTAATGGTGATCCTTTGGGGTCCTACATACATGAGTGGGAGAGGGTCCTATAGGCTCATCACTCTTTTTTTTTATTTTTGTTTTCTTTTTGCTTTTTGGGGAATAACATTGAAATGGAAGTTAAGAGAGAGAAACCAATCCAAAAGCAAAACCAAAAAAAGAGAGAGGCCACGGCATTGAGAGGAAACCATCCATACGTATTTTCCAATTATTTAATATCTTTGTATCTATTCCCCGTATTGTTTCTCATGCTACTATTAATTTTCATTTTCTTTGATCTTCTCAATGCACTATTTTCCATCATTGCATCCTTGAACGCAATAAAAATGAGCAAATGTGCTATTATTTTCCCACTTGTTATAGTAATTCTAATTAAGTGTACGTTAGTATTATTGTATGGTAAATGATATTGAACATTCAACTGCAACAGTATATTATGATAAAAAATGTTAGGGCGTGTTTGTTTGATGGTAGAACCGAATCTTCCGCTAAACAAGCATGCCATTCAAAGTCAAACTGGACAAGTAGAACATAACTGTACGTTACAAAGACCGTTTTACCTCTTCAGACAATGCCATTAGCCTCTTTCCTGTTTATTTGTTGTTTCTGTTACTTTGTTTGTCTTTGTCATTGTGTTGTCTGCCGACATGGACTTTTTATGTCTACCTTCAAGTGGGTGTGTGTACGTGTGTTTGTGAGAGAGAGTATTATGGAAGACAAAAAAGCAAGAGAGAGAGAATTATGAAAGACAAAAAAGCAAGAGAAAGAGAGAGAGTATTATGAAAGAGAAAAAAGAGAGAGAGTATAATGAAAGACAAAAAGCACTTCCAAACTTACATATGTTGTGGCATGCTTCTGACCATCCAAAGAAATATACAAAAATGCCGCTGAATATTCTGGAAATTGTCTTAGTACTTGGATTGGCCTTGAATTTCTCTACATTCTAATCCAGTTGACATTTCCAATGCTTCTATTTTGTCTTAACTGAACTTGACGTGGACTGATTTTTATAGAAGTGGTTTCCCTCACTTTTCTCCAAAATCTTGCTTAATGTATGTTCTTGGTTCATCTTCTGTGAGAGACTTTTTTAAGTTTCGATCCAGGTTATAATCCTCTTTTATCATCCTTTGTTTTCTCCCTTTTCTTTTAAGAAATTCTTTTTATTAAGTTTGGGATAAGGAGGAGAGCCTGACCACAGTGCACGTCTGAGAAAATGAGCCGTCCCTACCTTCAGATACTCTTTTTCCACGAATTGCTGCTGCTACTGTTACTTGAATCTTGTTATATTGCAGGCCAGATTTACTTTTTTGTCCCCCTCTTGTCTAAGTGTTTCTTTTTTTTTTTGGCTTTCACCTGTATGAGGTCTTTAAATGGTTGATCTTTAGTTTTTATTTAAATATGTACATGTTACTTCTCAAAACAAATTTGTTTTGATATTTGTTTCTGGGTGCAGACTGTTACGACCCTTTGGATCCGAATGAGAATATAACAATTACGTATGATATCATTTCATGGACCACTGACACCGATGGTTATTGGGTTAGTATTTTCTTCTGAGATAAAAAGTTTAATTGAGATATGAAGAAATCAATCGTCTGAAATCCTAATTTAGCGAGATGACTTTCTTCTAAAACTTCTTGAAAATGGATGCATATTTCTTTTTTTTAACATTAACTAAATAAAAAATGAATGTCATCATGTGCATCTGCATTTTCTCTGAAGTATGGTTATGTTAAAATTAAAATAGCTGACTCAAGTATAAAATCCCACTAGATTTACTGAATTAAGTTATTACATAAACTAAAAAAAAGGACTGCAGACAATAGACAGCTTGTGTGTGGTATGTGATACGGAGCCTGGGTCACCTACCATCTGGTTTGATTGCGTAGAGTTCCCGGGGATGGACATGCTACTGGAACTATTGTCAATCTCCACCTCCATCTCTGAAATGAACTGAGGATGCGCCCACCTGTGTATGATATACCATTCACCTGATGTGTGGGTTATAATTCCCCATGAAACTATGGTTCTCATGTTCAATATTATGATGTAGGCAAAGGTGACCATCGAGAACTATTACCAGTACCGCCACGTGGAGAAACCTGGATGGAAATTAGGGTTTGATTGGGCTGAGAACGAGGTAATATGGTCAATGACCGGTGCCCTAGCCACACAGTCAGGCAATTGCTCAGCCTTCAAGTATAGGGTCCCCTATTGTTGCCAAAGAAGCCCTGAGATCATAGACCTCATGCCTGATGCAGCTCCCATTAACAGATCAGAAAATTGTTGCAGAAATGGAGTCTTGGCTGCTCGTGACATTGACCAAAAAAATGCAATTTCCATTTTATATGACCGTGGGGAACTTACCCAGCCTTTGGACAGGGAAGACACCAAAGAATGTGACATTCATGGCTCCTGGACCAGGCTACACATGTAGTCCTTTTGCTGATTATTCACCCACTATTTTCCCTTCTGTTGGCGGTCGGAGAGAAACTCAAGCAATTAGTAAGAACCCAATAGCCTCCCCTTTTCATTGTTTTTCTTTTATATTAGTTTGTTATTTGGAAGCACTTTATGAAAATCTACTTCTAGTGTGATTCTGAGGTCATATGTCATTCGAATTTGAGCCTTTGGAGGACATGATTACATGTTGGTTTTTACTTCAGAATTCTCCTATTTACTTGAGAGAGTATGAGGCTGCCTGTTCTTAGGAAACAGTCTGGTCTTGCAGAAGTTTGCTTCTACATGCCAAACATCTTCTAGAACTCACTGTGACCCTCTTGTAAGAATGCTTTGAAAAGTAGGTGTTTGGGCCCTCTGCTCTTTGGAGAAAGATAAGCTTTGTTAAAACTGCTGCCCAGACACGCCCAACATCATCTTGACTGTATGAGTTTATGAGATGGTTTCCATTATTAACCCAGTTAAATTGACACCAAAAATATCCTTTCTTTCACAAAACTAAATAATATCGATGTTTCTATACGCACTTCAGAAGACTGGACTTCCCATTTGTTCATCAACCTCATCTTCGGAGCCTTATCCCAATTATTTTGGGATCCGCTTCATGAATCCTGTTCCGCCATTCCTTTCAATCAAGGGTCATACCTTGTTGGATCAGGACTTGTGATAGGGATGTAGAAAAAGTTTTCTGCTAAGGCCAACCTAACACAACCCTCCTCCTCCTCCTTTCTCATCTGGGTATGGGACTGGCAATAGTGGAATTCCACTTGTGCATCTGAATTGATAATATTATTCTCTATAATCTATAAAAATCAATCAGTCTACCCTTTTTCTGCTCATCAGTTATGTTTGTCAACAGTGTATGTGTGCATGTGCGTGCACACATGCGCCATTCACAAATGTGCACTTTGCAAAAGTAATGGATGCTTTGTATGTACAGGGACATGGAAATCAACTTGTACCTATTCTCAGTTTATTGCAAACAAGGCACCCACTTGTTGCGTCTCGTTATCATCTTTCTATGATTCCAATGTCACGCCATGCCCCCGTTGTAGCTGTGGTTGCCAAGCCCAGGAAAGAACCTCTCTCCCGTGTATTGGGTCTGTGCCCTACCAACCATAGTGACAAATCGCAAATATTTTGAAGGCTTTAAAAAAAAAATATATTTCTTTGATATTAACCGCCCTTCTGCCGAGTGTAAAGATGAAGTTTACCAGGCAAAAAAAGGATAGAAATCTCTAGAGAAGCAATAATAATTTCTATGGAAACTTAAATTCCAAAAATATAGGCAAATGGATAATTTTTCTGGGAATCTTACAATTTGTTTTAGATGTTTTCCTCTGTTTCCATCCTTTGCCTTTTTATTTCCCTAATAATTTCCAAGTAGCGCCCATAAGTTTGGATATTATAAAGGAATTATCCAACCAAGAAGCTCCCAGGAATGTGATTTATCTTTATATGCCAAGTTCACAAAAAGTGATACATAGTACACATGAATTGCATTATGGAACTTACAGAAAAAAAAAAAAACAGATTTACACTGGCATCCCGAACTTTTCACAATGTGCAATACACTGCACTTTTCAAATATCACCATTTTACCTGAAATCAGGTGATTTTTCTTTGAAACTTGCAAGCAGATTTTAATTCTCTTCACAAGGTTCTTTATGAAAATATGTAGTTATTTGAATGAGCTCTGAAAAATGCTTCTTTTAATGCAGAGACACCAAATTTCGTGTTGCTTCACTTCCTGTGGGTGAAGTGGAAGAAGGCCTTGTGAGGTGCACCAGTCACATGTGCCCTGTTCGAGTCCATTGGCACGTGAAGAACAATTACATGTACCATTGGAGGGTGAAATTAACAGTGACTAATTACCACTATGCGGCTAATTATTCTAAATGGAACATCATGGTTCAGCATCCAGGGTTCAGTCAGGCGACCACTGCTTTCAGCTTCAACTCTACCACCCTTGATACAACCACGAGTCCAAGTATCTCTCTCTCTCTCTCTACCATTGTTCTGCAACTTACCTTGCTAGTACTCATGCGCACAGCCATTGTTCGTAAAACGTGTATTTTGACCTCTCTCTATCACTCATGTACACACACAACCATTGATCCTGCACCATATTGTACTACCTCTCTCTTTCTCTCTCCCCCCACCAGAAACAGACATTTTTTTAGTCAATGCTCATGCAAGTGTTTCACATTTCTTGTTTTCAGATGAGGCAGCCCTATTTTGGGGGCTCAAATATGTCAATGGCGAACTTTTACAGGCTGATAACACGGGGTTTGGATCAGTGACATCTGAGATTCTCTTGCACCAGGATAGGAAGTCTTTCAGTCTCAGGAATGGGTGGGCCTTCCCTCGAAGGGTGTATTTCAATGGTGAGGATTGTATAATGCCACTTCCTGATGTTTATCCAATGCTACCAAATGGTAGCTGTGGCCCTCTAACTAGCCTCCATAAGCACCTAGTTTTGTTGTGCATGCTGCTTGTATTGCTCCATAATTTTCATCTTGAGTAGTAAAATACCCTTGTTTTTTTTTTTTGGATGGGGGACTGGAAGAAAATGGAAACTTTGTAATCTTGATGTTTTGGGCCAGCAATGAATTTATGTTATTTTTTTAAAGGCTCGTAAACAACCAAGGGAACTAGGAAATGACAGAAGAGGGACGGATACTTCAAAGAGTGGAGGATAACTTGAAATAAAACGACAAGATGATGAGTACAAAAAAAAAAATACAACTAAGTGTTTAGAAACATTGAGATAGGATAATTCCATAAGGGCTCGATTGGATCCCTGGATTTTTCAATCATTGGAAAAGTCAATTCTGGAATTGAGGTTTATTGAAATTGACATTTCCTGGAATCTGGTAAATCAAGAAAATGAAAATTTCCTATTTGGATCGCCTGGGATATCTTTTTTGTGGAACTGCAAATTGTTTCTCAATCTCTAAAAACTTTTGAGATAGTTTTTCTAAAATTTTCTCCAATATTTTAATACACTCGGTCAAAAACTTAAATTTTGAAATAGTCTCAAAATTTTGAGATAGTTTCTCTCTTTAAAAATTTATCTATTTCTCTCTCTAAAATTTGATATAGTTTCTTTAACTAAAATTTTGGGATACTTTATCTCCTTAAAACTTAAATTTTGAGATAGCTTCTCTCTATAAATATTTTGAAATGGTTTCTCTCTTTAAACAATTTCAAGAAGTTTCTCTCTCTAACATTTTAAGGTACTTTCTCTATCTAAAACATAAAATTTGAGATAGTTTCTTTTTAAAAATTTTAAGATAGTTTCTCTCTCTAAATATTTTTAGGTACTTTCTCACTCTAAAATTTGATATAGTTACTCTTTTTAAAATTTTAAGATGTTTTCTTTATGTAAAACTTAAATTTTGAGATAGTTTCTCTATTTAAAATTTTGAAGTGGTTTCTCTCTCTAAGATTTTGAACTAGTTTCTCTCTTTAAAATTTTCAAGTTATTTCTCTCTCTAGAATTTTAATATATTTTCTTTCTCTAAAACTTAAAATTTGAGATTGTTTCTCTATCTAAAATTGTTTAAATAGTTTCTCTCCAAAAATTTTAGGTGTTTTATTGAAAATTTGATATAGTTTATCTATCTAGAGTTTTAAGGTATTTTCTCTCTCTAAAATTTAAAATTTGAGATAGTTTCTCTTTCTAAAAATTTTCAAGTGGTTTCTCTACCTAAAATTTGATATAATTTTTAATCTCTAAAATTTTAATGAGCTCTCTTTCTAAAACTTAAAATTTGAGATAATTTCTCGCTCTAAATGTTTTGAGGTACTTCTCTCTAAAAACTTTTGAAGAGTTCATCTCTAAAATTTAATGTAGTTTATCTCTCTAAAATTTTAGATACTTTCTCTCGCTAAAACTTAAGATTTGAGATTGTTTTTTCCCTCTAAAATTTTAAATTTAAAATAGTTTCTCTCTCTAATTTTTTTTTAAAAATTATATATTTTCTCTCTCTAAAAATTTTGTATGCTTTCTCTTTCTAAAATTTGATGTAATTTTCAATATGTTTTCTCTCTAAAATTTGATATAGTTTTTTATATATTTTTTGTTCTTGAGCAACTTCACTTCCATGAAATGTCAATTCCACCTATTTTGGTGGAATTGGGATTTCTAAAATTTAGGCGTAAAATGAGCATTCAAGAATACCACATAAATCTCAATTCCAACAAAAATGTCAATTCTAAGCGAGCCAAACACGATTGACCCAACTATTCTAAAAAAAATGACTCCTAAAAATCTGAATCCAAGGAGCCAAACGGGCCCAAAAGGACCAATCTAGCGGGTTGGTAATAACATTTGGGGATAAACACTCTATATATAAAGAAAAAGTATAGAATGAGATCATTTGCCTTTGATACAAGGTGGTCATAATAATCTTGACCATTGAGTGTGAAGTTGGGTGGTTGCAATTATTCCATTGATTAAGCTCAAACTTCAAAAGAAATTTTCTTAAACTTCGTGGCACATCCAAATTATCAAGTTTCACATCAAATGGTTATAAGGAACTGTGACCACTTTGTACTAAAGGTAAATAACAATATCATATATAAATACTTCATATTTATAGGATATTATATAGGGTGTGGTTTCTATAAGATTGCAAACTTAAACAATCCAATTAAGGCGCACCTCCAAATTTTATCATAACATATAATTTTGGTGTAAAAAATTATTAGGATTATTTGAAAATCTATTTTTATATGTAATTATAAAATTTTAAGCTCCAAAACTTGTCAAAATCAAATAGATCTATAAACATATGAAAATCTTGAAATAGACGGTCTAGATAATGTGTTGTAAGATACATTATTTTCGGGACTCAAAATCTTTTTTTTTTGTAATATTCACACATCTTTATGTCGAGATGAACAACTAGAGGGGTTTTCAATATTAAAACAACCTTCTCCAATGGATTTTTGAGGTGCATCCGTATTTCTACATTTTTAAGTTGCAACCTTATATAAACTTTTTCTGTATGTTAAGTAGTTTTTCTTGCGTAGATAAGTGGGGAAACAAGTTTCGAGTAGTTTCTTATCGTGATAGGAAAGGAACTCAAACGATCATATTCACAACCCTAACCACTTATGTCTTGAGTCTATTCTTATGTATTAAGTAGCTAACAAGCGTCAATAATAAAAGGGGATCTTATAGTAGAGAGAATACATTGTAAGGGTCCAACAAATAGAGGGGCTTAGGGTCAACTTTGTGGAGTATTTTTCTATTTTTATACCAAGTATTCATCTTTTCAAGATAGAGAGGAAATTTATGTATTTAATGAAGGGTGAGGTTTGTATAGAGCCGAAGCACTAAGCAAAGTAAAGCACATCTTCAAATAGTTTCGAGAAATGCCGTTTTAATACTAGAAATCCTTGTGATAGCCTTAAAATAAATTTTTATCTTTCATTATAAAATTTAAAGCTTTAGAAATACTGTAGATTGAGCAGATCTATGAAAGCTTCAAAACGTATTGTCCAAAAATGCGTTACAAGATGCACTATTTTCAAAACTTGAAATTCATTTTTTTTTTATGTCCATGTATCTTGATGTCGAGATGATCAATATGAGGATATTTGGGCATGAAAACAACCTCTTCTAGTGACTGTTTAGAACCTCGGCTTTAGATAAACTTTTTCCTTTAATAAATGATGAGAAAAATTATAGATAGAAAAATATTTCGACTTTCATGAATTTCAAGATGGATCTTTACTTCTCTCATCATTAGTGTTACACAATATTGATACAAGTGACAATGTCTGCGCTTGATGTTAAATTGCATGGTCACCTGCTTTGCTCGACGTTAAACTACGCAATTGTCTTTGGCATGACGTCAAACTGTGTGATCGCATCATCGACAGGATGTCTAACCAAGCACCTGACGAACTGTTTTGATGATTTGTCGAGCTCAGTGTTTTAAAAAACGCCGAGTCGAACCGGACTCGCCCGGTTCGACTCGGAAATCGTAAAAAGTGGATCGTATCGGCTAAAAAATCGGAAATTGTCCGGTTCTAGAGAGAACCGGACGATTTTGTACAGTGACTCGCCGATTCACTGTATGAATCGGCGAGTCTGAACAGTGAATCGGCGAGTCCCGTACGGTAATTTTTTTTTTTTTTTTTGTAATCCATGATAGATTTTTTTGTAATACTTGATCGATTTTTTTGTAATCCATGATTGAATTGTTTTTGTTTTTTTGTAATCTATGATCGAATTTTTTGTA